TGTACACATTCTGTTATGTTCATTGTGTAGTGGTTGCTGAGTGTTTCATAGACATTCAGGATTGTGAATTCTCTTTAATATGTACTCTTACAACTTCTTCAGTTTTGTGGTATATAATTGTTCTATTCTGCTAGCATAGACTAGAAAATCTCACTGTCTGTGGGATGGCAAGGAGTCGTTTAGTACCTCACTGTTCTAGAAACAGTTTGTGGAGACATTTACATACTGTATGTAGCAATTCAGCAGTTAATACCAGTCAGATACAGGTAGTCACAAAATATTTTATTCCATATGTGTACAAAGAGGAAGTGAGAGAGACTTTTTGTTCTTTAGTGCGCTAAGCTTCTACATCCTATGTACAGCTGTCAAAATCTGGTAAACTATCTAAATGCTTTCACAATTTGTTTAATTGGATAGTTAGGAAATGGCATACAAGAAAAGCTTTTTCTTTTCTTTTAAGTCTGGCTGAACATCTGTAGCATTAGAGTCTCATTATCTCAGAATTGGCATAGCAAATCAGCAGCATCATTAAAATGCCACATTAAGATGATTAAGTTTCTTTGTTATCCATTTGACTTCTTGCCTGTGTTGAGGATTTCATTATTATGACCCCATGTCTTGTACAATACTTGAGCAACATCACCCTGCTGTGCGATTGCCTTTAATGGCTTCTGATTCTTAATCTTTCTGTCTTCGTAACATCAGTAACAAACTTTGCTCAATAACAGTACAAAACTTACATTCTTTCCCCCTGCTTTGCATGTCAAAGAATTGGATTAAGCATGGCAATTGAAGGCAGTTCACCTGAGAATTCCTCTTAGAGAGTATAGTCATGAGAACACTCATTTTTCTTAATTATTTGCTGGTATTGACTTTAATTTTGCATGTGTAGAGCATACATATGCAGAGCTGCTGTGGTGACTCAGTCTCATATTATCATCAACACTTGGATCTTTTCCAGAAACCATTGTTTTTACAGTGTTTCAGGTAAAACAAAAATATTACTCTGGAGTGTGTCTTTCATCTCATAATCATCACCCCAGGAAATGAAACCATGTGCACCAGCCATAATGCATAAAACCAACACTTTGTTGTGTAAAATCTACCAGATCCTCTCTGCTGTGTGTATTGACTTCATGAGAGGCCCCCAGAATGTAGTTATTCGTGACAGATTAATTAATTCTTTTCTATTAACCTCTTCACTTTCCTGAACAAATCAGGGGCCATAAATCTTACACATAAGAGATAATAAGTCTTTATCTTTTAAACCAAGTGATTCCTTGAACTTAATGAGTCCTTTGAGAATATTCTTTTTTCGCTTTAATTCTCCTCCCCCATTCTGTGCATTCTTCTTTTGGTTGAGGAAGACTAGATTGGGCGCTCTCCCGAACCTGACAGAATTTCTCTTTAAACAACATGAAACATCCCTACCTAACCACCAGTGTTATGATTCCATAGAGCTCCCTATGTTTGTCAGCTTGCAAAACAAAAAAGGCCAGGACTAGAGACTGAATTTGTCTCCTGCATGACAGTACAGATCTCCAGTAGTCCAGACCTTTATTGATCACCTATCGTTACTAGGTTATTTCTTTTCCTTGGGAAAATGGCATAAATATTGGCACTGGTTCTCTTTTTCCTATCACAAGCACACTGAGGGATCTACTTTCCCATTAAATTATGGCCAATATCTTAAGGTCACATTTCTATTCCAACATTCACTCAAAATAAAATAATTCTTTCCTAATAGGTTCTGCTTTGTGCTATCTTTGAGTTCTCAGTAGCTACAGTTTACCGTTGAGATTCTTTTAATGCCTACATGCAAACTGAAAAGCACTCAAGCTTTGGTGGGATATCACTGACAGCTGGAGTGATAGTGATGATTTGTGGGGGTGGGGGGAGGCCTTTGATCAGAACTCAGGTGCATCCTTCTCATTTATCATCAGAAAACAAAAACATTGCAAACCGACTGTGTGCAATAAGGAAAAAGCAAAACATAGTTATTTTCCTCAGGAGAACCATGAGATATAGCCCAAATTATACCAGTCTGCATCGTCTGTCCCATGTGGAAATAAGGGACAAAACACATGTATATTATGTACACAAAACATTGGTTTATTTCTCTAAAGAGTAAAAAGATGTGAACCATGTACTTTTGATGGGCAACAGAAAAAGATAAAAACATAAAGGCCACGTCTACACTGCAAGGTTTTTGCAGAAAAACCCGTGGAGCGTCCACACTTCAAATACGCTTTTGCGCAAGTAAATCAATAGTAAAACGGCAGAAGGGAGGGCTTTTTCCAGCGTAGGTAAACCTCCTTTTATGAGGCATAATTCCTTTTTGCACTATAGCTATTGTGTAAAAAGGCAAGCGTGGACGCTCCAGAGGGGTTTCTTGCGCAAGAAATCCCTATGGGAAAAAGCACAGGTGCTCTGATGGCCATTCTGTGAATGGCCATCAGAGCTTTCTTGTGCAAGAGCGTCCATGTAGTGTGGACGCTGTCTTGCGCAAAAGCACATCACTTTTAAGATGTGCTTTGAGGTGTGGATGTTCTCTTGCACAAGAAGTTTTTGCTCAAAAATTCTTGCACAAAAGGCTTCTTGAGCAAGAAGCATATAGTGTAGACCCGTGGTCACCAACCAGTAGATCGCGATCTACCAGTAGATCTCAGGGGCTCTAAGAGTAGCTCTTGAGCCCTCTCTGAACTGCGCACCTGCGCAGTACATTTACATTAGATTTCCTCATGTAATGTAGGCGGGGCTTCAAGGAAGGGGCGGGGCAGTAGATCTTCACCTGTTCTGAGACTTAAAAAGTGATCTTGGGTGTAAAAAGGTTGGAGACCACTGGAGACATAGCCAAAGTCTTCTACATCAGAGGTTAAGACCAGTCCTGCTCCACTAAGCAGCTGCATTTAATACAAATGACAGATAAGACATTAATTAGTTAGTAGAAATTTATAAACTATTTCTGAAGGTGCCAGTAAGCTGCAGTTGCTGTGTGCATTTTCTTTTAACACACTTTTTGCAGGATCCGATGAATTATTTTGTAAGGATTGCCCTCATTTATTAATAACTAAATTGGTGTGGAAAAGAGAGGGGGTTTTTTTTGTTTAACATTGTCTCCCCAACAACTAGAGTAAGAAGTTATGCAACTAGAAACTACACTAATTTTTGCTTGATCCCTGTCTGCTCTGGAGAGCCCTCCTATTGGAGGGCATGGGAACAGGCAGCAATAACATCAAGCAGGGAAGGCCCTGCCAATGTTGTGACTCCAAAGGAAATATACTGTTTAAGAGGGAGATAAGGAGAATGAGGTACCTGTGTAGATGAGCCTGTGCCTCTGATGAACTATCACCCAAGACCTGTCTGGATTCTTGGGTGATCTGTGAGATTTGGGTGCCAGCCTCCTTTTCAGAGAAGAAAGGGGAGAGAAACATGCATTCTGCGGACAGAATCATCTATGGGAAAAATTGAGGAAGACCTCCTGGAATTTTCCTCCCCCCAGAGCCCTTGCATCCATCTGCTTCTTCCTTACCTCCACACCTTTAGCCAGAAGTAAACAGGCACAGACTAAGTAGAAATCTAGTGAAAAGAGATTGTTCTTAGACAAAAGCATCCTTCGTGTCCATATAAATGCCTGAGCTCATTGCAAGTATTCAAGTCATAGGAGTTACTTTTCTTCCATGCATTAGCTGAGAAATTTGACTTAATGCAAGGATTTATTGCCTGGTTTTATTTTTTCCACTTCATTTTCACTGGCAGCAATTTTTTTTCCCTTTACATATGATGTGGTTTCTTTGTCAGATCCAGAGATAATGCAATTTTGATAGTCCATGTTCTGTACAGTAGAGAAAGGGCAAACACCTTGCTTAGCAGAAAGACAGTTAAATATGGCCTAACCCTCATTTCTGGAAAGGAGCAGGTGGCCAGCCATGCAACACTTTCAAACAGGAAAGTACATATTTTATCTCTAAGAGAATGGCCAGTCTCCTATTTTTTACTCAGGAGCATCATCTCCTCACTGAGGGGTATTTATGTGCAAATGGTTTACTACTTTCACCACAATCCCAGCTTGCCACTATGGTCATTTTCTAACCAAAGAGGTTGTCTTCATTAGCCATCTAGGAAAAAATGGAAACTCAGAGGATCCAGGAGCCTCTCCGGGGACCTGAGTATAATCCAGCAATCGGGCAGGATGCTGATATTCAAGGCTATTTGGATTCTTTGTCAGACACATGCTCTGTGTCTGTGAGCAAATAAATATCTTGAGGAGGAATTTGAGCCGTGAGATCTCTTTGCAGTGGTTGCCACCAGCTTTACTCCCCTATGTAAAGCGCCTCCCATGAAAATTAATGGCTATGAAAATTAATGGATGCTTCTAAACAGCTTTTGAGATCTTGGGATAAAAATTGCTATTTGAAGTGAAAATTAATGAAAATCCTGAAGGGGATTGTTCAGAAGAATGAAATTAAAAGGGCCTCTCCTCACAGACAATATAGAAGCAGCAAAATTGCATATTGGCTCACACTTTTGGTCCATCTAGTCGAGTGGCAAGCACCAAATGCTAGTCCAAAGGAAGGTACAAGAATCCCCTGCTTTCTTGGCCTCATCGACATCCTGAACAATAATGTCTATAGTCTAATTATGTATTTATGTGAACAAATACTTTCATTTATATGCTATATAGTATGTATAATGTAATAATAATATAATGTAATAACAAACTGTGTGTCAAGGTATTTATATCGCATAGAAGCAAAAATCCCCAAAATATAGTTTATAATATATATAAGCTATTTCTTTAAGATTATCACTATAAATGTAAGATCCAAGAAGACTGGCTTAATCGTATTTCCTTATTTTTGTGGATTTACATCAAACATGTAGAGTTATTTTAAACATAATTTTATATTAAATTAGCTGATGTAGATTTGTTTTAGAGATATGTTATAGCTTCTAACAATTTTTCGTTATTGTTATTGGACCTTATTGTTCACCTGCAGATGACTTCGTTAAAGTGAAGGGTGAATACAGTGAAAGAGAAGAGAGTGCTTTGAATTCAGAACCTATGGAAAATACAGAAGAATCTGAAATGCCTTATAGCTATCCAAGGGAATATAATGAATATGAGAGCATTAAATTGGAGAGACACTCTGGTTCATATGACAACATCAGGCCAACCAGTGGAAAGATGAACTGTGATGTCTGTGGATTAGCCTGCATTAGTCTCAATGTCTTGATGGTTCACAAGCGTAGCCACACTGGTAAATATTCCTATATTGTCCTTAAAAGAGCTACATTTTGATAGCGTATGATTTGGCTGTGGTCTAGTGATTAAAATAGGATAGTTGGAATCACAGCTCTTTGTTCTGTTCCCGAACCTGAAATATGACTTTGGGCAAGTCACTTAATCTTTCTGTGCCTCACTTTACCCATCTGCCTAATGAGTAAAATATTTACGTATCTCATCAGGGTTGAATGTTTGTAAAAGCATGTTTGTGAAGTGTTTTGAGAATTTTGGATGAAAGGCACTAGCACTTTGTCATGTAAATACTTCTTAGTCAAAAACCAAGAGTTTTATGTTTAAAATAACTCTTTTTCTGGTTGCTGCAACTTGCTTGTGTGTCACGATTATCTTTGTACCATACCTTAACACAAAGTTAGCTATCCTATTAGGTAAATTTTGCAAAGAATTAGGATTTTTTCCCTGAAAATACTTAACATATTAGAATCCACTTCCTCAAGAACATTTATATTTATATCCAGTCCATAGAAAAAATATACATTAGGAATATTTCTCATAAATGGACACATTGTGCCAAATTCTGCCGCCAGCTTCACAGTGAGGCTTCAGTGTGTGTCCCAGGGCAGAATATGATCCAATATCTCATTCTTTCCTCCTTCAAAAAAGGAAATTGTGAGGGGCTGGCGGTGATTTCCATATAAACATTAAATGTCCTTTTTTTGTATGTCATTTCAAGGTGAACGTCCATTCCAGTGTAATCAGTGCGGAGCTTCCTTTACTCAGAAGGGTAACCTCCTCCGCCACATTAAACTACATACAGGGGAAAAACCTTTTAAATGTCATCTTTGCAGCTATGCCTGCCAAAGGAGAGATGCATTAACAGGTCACTTAAGGACACATTCTGGTAAGTGACTACGGAGACACTTAGGTTTTGTAAATGTGTGTCACTAGGACATAAGTTGTGGAAAACAGAAAGGGTTAATCAATAAGATTTAATCTTCCAATTAACAGTGACTTCTAGTTCTATGTGGAACATTCCATGTAGGGACTCCGTTCTGCATGGGTGTGCTAGTGAGGAAAAAGGCACTAGGAAGCCTTATTTTCAGGAGAGAGTGCTATGAGAGAGACCCAGCTACTCCACTTGTTTTACACTAGAGATGTTAAAGAGCAGTTAATTAGATAGCTCTGTAACCATTAAAAATCTTAGGGCAGTGTAGGCTCAGCAGTATAAAGCTTTTAAGCTGGCTCCCAGCACGCACTGGCTGTAGCCTGCCTCCCTGCTCCCACGGAGCTGGCTGCCGCCCTGCACTGTGGATTCTGATACAGAGCCAGGAGTTTTGGGGTGGCAGCCAGCTCCCTGAGAACGAGGCTAGAAGCTGGTGTGCAACTGTTATGATAAACTGATAAAGCTCATTCTTATTGGCTAACCGCTTAAATGGTTACACTATCACATCCCTAGTGTGCACAGCTTAACATCTCGGTGTGGTCGTCTTGTTGAGAGATGTGTCCATGCTATTAGACTCTCAGTTTTTATAATATCGGTAAAGTATGCTCCAAGAGGGCTTTCTCTCATTCTCCCTTAGTAGAGCTATCCTATCCGGTGTCATCAGCATGGCCCTGGGAGAATGCCCAAGGCCAATGTCACTCAACTGCCAAATAATATGTTGCTCTTTTTAGTGCCTTTCATCTGAATATCTTAAAGAATTTAACACATTTTTATTTTCTTAATATCCCATTAAGGTATTATATCCATTTTACAGATTGGGAAATGGAGGCACAAAGCTGGGTGGGGGATGACTTGTCTCAACACTACAAGTCACTCAGAAAAGTAGGAACTCGTATGTTCTAATGCTTAGTTCTGTTCTTTCACAATTCAATCACACTTCTTTTCATTTTTAAATATCCTTAATGTATTACATAGACATTTGGGTGCGGGGGGGGAGAGAGAGAAAGCATTTTTAATGACATTTTTAATTTTTAGGCTAATTAAGGCCATCTATGTACTACCCTATGCAGAAAAACTACATGTCCTTACCAAGACTCACATAAAAAAAATCGTGCGTCAAGCACATCTTAATCAACAGTGCAGCAACCCTCTTTGGCACAGCTGCCAAACAATATGTGAGCTAATAACCGTACAATTGGAAGCTGTTTGTGATTAAAGATGTTCTGAGGAGCCTGTCAGTGACTAATTAAAAGATGTTAAAATCTTTAAATAAATAATCCAAGGGCCATAAATATATTGGATTTTGAGGTGGTGGTGTTTGTACTGGTATAAAGTGCAAATCCCCAATACATATGTATTGTACTGATTCAAGAAGCGGTTTGCACATATGTTCCTTAGAACTTGTCTACCTAAAGAGTAGCACTTGTTTAATTTTAGAGTGATTTAGGCTAATTAAGGCCGTGTACAGGCTGTATGGACAGCGTTGTTTTTTAATCTCTGTTTAAACCAGGTTGATTTCAACTTATTTTAAATTAATTAGGAACATGTTTAACCTACATTGAAATAAATCACTCTGAAATAAGAGGCTCTACACAAGGGTTTCTACCACTTTAACTAAACCCGTTTAAGTAACTTAGTACAAGATTGTGTGTAGACCGGACCTTACCCCTGTAAGTTATTAGGTTAAGTAACAATGATGCAAGTCTTGTTTCACATAAGTATAGTGTCTTTGCATTAGCAGGTTATGCTAAGAGAAGATTCTGCTTAGAGGAGGGTACTAGGCATGAGAACTCCTAGGTTTCATTCCTGATTTTGCAAATGTGGAGGCTAGTTTATGAAATTCTGGTCCTAAGAGCAATGCCTCATGTAATCTTAGCGTATCAGAACACTTCCATTATTCTTAATGCATTTCACATCCTAAGGATGAACAAAGTGACCTAGTTATTCTACCAAGAGACTAGGCATATAAATAACCATTAAAATAGTTAACTGGTTAAATGTATAAAATTATACCATTTAACCACTTACTGCTTGCAGGCAGGTGCTGCCTGACAACCCAGTGTGGCTGTGGTCAGCGCCCTGCCTACCTTACTCTGGCAATGCCAGGGTCCTGATTGGCTGACTGGGCTGTTCCTATGCAGCCAAGGCTGGGATCGCGATGGACTGCCCCCAGGATCCCACCTGGCCACATGGGCTGCTCTTGTGTAGTCGGGGTTAGGATCTCACCAGCCTGACCTGGCAGGCGCAACCTAGCCTTCTCCCCCATATAGCCGACTGGACTTAACCAGGGCTACTCCAGTTTGGTGTGGTTGGCCAACTTTCCACTTACCCGGAAAGCATTCCGCTAAACCTAATGCTTACCGGGTAACTGGTTAACCTTTTACATCCCTACAAGAGATAGACGGTAAAATCTGCATAGATCTTTTAAAAGCAATTGGCAACAATGCTAATTAAATGTTGATAATTTACATTAGTGATGTTAGCATTGTATCAACAGATACGTGTTTATTGTATATTTATTTTATATTCTATCAGGAAAAGTTTACCGTGCAAAGTACTGTATTCATTTTGTTAAACTGTGTCTAATTAGAAAATCTCAGACATATTTTAGCAAATATTTATAAGTTTACTAACATAAAATTATACTAGTGTAAATTTAGATCTCATACACCATAAACTTGATTGATCTGCAGAGTTTAGATGGGAACAGTATCTTGCCCCTGACTTGTGAACAGTCTGCCAGGTTCCAAAACAGCCCCACTTCAGTCATGATATCAGAATTTGGGATACAGTAAAACCTGTGTTATCCAGCATGCTAGGGGATTAGGGTGTTCTAGTTATCTAATAATTCTAGTTACCTGAGGGTCCTAGCAACCTAGGAAAAACCAATGGACAGTAATAGTAAAACTCAAGTTTTTAATATTGGTAGTTTTGTAGTGTGAGGCAGTTGGTCTCACATTTCTATTTTGAGTTAAAGATGATTAGTACTTCTTAAATAAAAAATAGTTAAGCCAATCACGGTAAACCAAGCCAGGCCTGTGTGCCTGAAGATGTGACAGTATTGTGGCTTGAGGCAATGCCGTTAACAAAGTTTCCTGGTTAACAGAGTGCTGGATAACAAAGGTTTCACTGTATATGAATCTGTGTAAATCCAGGTCCAATAACTCCTCCCTTTGGACTACCCCTGTTGGCTTATTATTTTCTGTTTACTTAACATAAATTTCAGTCCTTTTTTCCAATCGTGCATGCAATACAGAAGCTGTCTGACAGATATCCTCTTGCTGTAGTAGGGCAGTGCTGGCTGAGCTTAAGTCATGAAGCGGCCTTGTAGGAAGCCTCCATACGGGGGTGAATTTCAACCTTAGTGAACCTTTAAGGCATTCCGCAAAGTGTTAAATTGAGAGTTGTTAGTAATTATGTACTCATATGCCAGGAAGTCAGTGTTTCATCACTCTCCCGTGGTTATTTTATCCTGTTATCTTTTCTTTCTAGTGGAGAAGCCCTACAAATGTGAGTTTTGTGGGAGGAGTTACAAGCAAAGAAGCTCATTAGAGGAGCACAAAGAGCGATGCCGTACGTACTTGCAGAGCACTGGCATGTGTGAGGCTGGTAAGTTTATCAGATTACAGTGCTTGGCTTTGTGTGTTACAGTTCCTTAAAAAGAGCATCTGGCAAACTGTTAATTTGCAGCCTGAAAACAATTTCACTACTGTCATTTGCAGTAACCTAAGGGGCTGCAGATCTTATAAAAAGGTCTAGTTTAATGCATCCCTCAGGCAGCTAATTTAAAAAACACTTTTATTTTAATCACTTTATTTCAATAACACATCCAGAATACTCCATACACAGAATTTCTGTAGGTGGCACCCACATTAAATTAAATTAGACCTACATCAGTATTATTATGTGATTTATTTCATTGGAGCAGTTGCTGCTGGTATTTCATTACAGCATTTGTTTGCATGTGTTAGTCTATTCTGAACTATTTTTCAGTAGATTAATATTTGCTATCTTGATTCCCATGGTAATAATTTCTAAGTGTTTCAAACTGCAAAAGTATGGGGTTAGGGAATGGAAAGAGAGTGGGGATTCTGATGTTCTTGATAGACCAGCCTCTAATGGAGAGAGAAGTTTAGATGGGTAATATTAAATAATAATCAAGGAGATAGGAATATGCATATTATGTGAACAGAAAGAATCCATGTTCCATCTACTCGATTACAGGACATGCTGAAAGAGGCCCGTATGTTACACTTGGCTTTTGAAGGGAAATGGAAAATGAGGAATAGGCAAAGGAAATGGGTAATAGTGGTATTTGATTATGGGTTGCTACTTGGAGAAGAGGTCAACTGATTGAACTTAGTTTTGGAATTCTAAATAATTGACACAACATTTAGAGCCAGAGTAGAGGATTGTTTTTGTTCTAAACTGAAATAAAATAAAAATATCTTTTTTTATATTGTGGTGCTAAGTAGTTTAATAACTGAAAACAACCTTTTAAGTATGTAGGCAAACTAATGTTACATTCTTGTAAACTCTATATTGGTTAGCAAATAGAATTCCTTTGCTTATTTTGAAGTGAAGTTTGTCACCTGATTTAAAAGGTAATTTTCAATAATAGTTTGTAACCCCTGTTTTCCTACTCATAATCCCAATACCCCAATATTGGGTTTCAGAAAATATATTGGTGACAAACATAATAGTAACCCTCTCACTTTCTGTAGCTACTTTCCTTGGAGAATTTCAATACATAAAATAAGCTTTTGTGAAGTAGGGAAATATAATTACCCCATATTACATACGCATAGAGAGGTTGTAACTTGCTGACAGTTTACACAACTATTCAGTAGCACATATGGATCCAAAATCTCAGCATTCTGGCTCCCATTCTCCTGCTCTTATAAGCAGGAACTTTCTGCTTTAAAAAATGAACATAAAGTATCAAGAAGACTCTTTGGGTTCTGAATTTGGTATAGCTGTTTTTTTACTAGAATCATAGAAAATTAAGGTTGGAAGCGGTCTCAGGATGTCATCTAGTCCAACCCCTTGCTCCAAACTGGACCAACCCTAACTAAATCATTCCAGCCAGGGTTTTATTAAGCCTGGCCTTAAAAACCTCTTAGCATGGAGATTCTACCACCTCTAACGGCGACCCTTTCCAATGCTTCACCTGCCTCATAGTGAAATAGTTTTTCCTAATATCCAACCTGGACCCCACCCACTACAACTTCAGATTGTTGCTTCTTGTTCCGTCATCTACCACCGAGAACAGCCTTGCTGCATCATTTGTCGAGTTGGAAGCTGCTATCAAATCCCACCTCATTCTTCTCGTCTGCAGAAATAAGCCTAAGTCCCTTAGCCTCTCCTCATAAGTCCATGTGCTTGAGGCCCCTCTAATAATTTTCACTGCCTGCTGCTGGACTCTCTCCAGTTTGTCCACATCTTTTCTGTAATGGGCGGTGGGGGGGTTCAAAACTGGATGCAGTACTCTAGAAGAGGCCTCACCAGTGCTGAATACAAAGAAATAGTCACTTTCCTTCATCTGTTAGTCATGCTTCTACTAATGCAGCCTAATATGCCGTTACTTTTCTTAGCAACGTGGGCATACTGTTAACTCCTATCCACCATCTTGTCTACTGTAATCCCCAGGGTCTTTTCTGCAGAACTGCATCTTAGTTAATCAGTCCCCAGCCTATTGCAGGGCATAGGATACTTCCATCCTAAACTCTTGTCTACACTAGGACTTTATTTCAAAATAACACCTCTAAGATCGAAATTATAAGCTGTTAGTACATTGATACAATGTAAAGAAGGCAGGGCCAGCCTCACCATGAGGTGAACTGAGGTGGCCACCTCAGGTGCCAGACTGTGGGGGAGCGCCACTAGGACCCAGAGTGTAGAAAATTGTGTCTGTTGCTGGTGCATCTGTATTCTCTCTGCTCTAGCTGCACAGAGATGGTGGAGTGCTGTGAGAGGAATAGAACAGGAAAAAGGCAGAATTGAGACCTTTCAAAGTTTTGGCCCAAGCGAGGAGTCATGGGGGCATCATTTGAGCTCCCCACCTCAGGTGCCAAAATGTTGTGGGCCAGCCCTGGCCACAGAAATTGAAATCTGTACTCCTGCTTTTAATCAGGAGTAACACTAATTCCCAAATAGTTATTTCAAAATAACGGTAGTGTGGTGCTCTGGTGCTGCTATTTCAAAAGAATTACTTCCCAGAGTAATTCAAACTAATTACTCCCCAATGCTTTCTGGGGCTCTGAGTCCAAGGTAGTTCATCCACATTAACGAAGCCTGCCTTAGACTAATTTTAGGGCTTCCAACTAGTGTGGACACACTAGTTTAAATTTGTTAAATTGGGAGTTAAGTAGAATGTTAGTAATTTCGAAATTCTTTCTTAGTGTAGACATGGCCTAAGTGTAGAATTCTGCACTTGTCCTTGTTGAACTCATCAGATTTCTTTTGACCTAATCCTCCAATTTGTTTAGGTCTCTCTGCACCCTCGAGCATGCCTACCTCTTTCCACCACCCCCAGCTTAGTGTCATCCATGAACTTGCTGAGGGTTCAATCCACCCCATCATCCAGATTACTAATAAAGATGTTTAACAACCCGGTCCCAGGACCAATGGTCCACCTAATCTTTTCCATCCAAGTGCAGAATACATTTTTATGTGCACTGAGGCATGTACAAATGGGCACTATTAGTTGAAACAACAACCTAGCTGTGAGCTCTCTGCTAATCAGCAGGGCGGCATTTGAATCTCACCTGAGTGACCACACAAACATCCAGCTTACACGGAACACTGCCCAGGACTGATCCTTAGGGCTCTCCACTTGATACCAGCTGCCAACTAGACATTGAGCTGTTGATCACTACCAGTTGAGCCTGACAAGCTAGCTATCTACCTTACTGTCCATTCATCCGAGTCATACTTCTTTAACTAGCTGGCAAGAATACTGTGGGAGACCATATAAAAAACTTAGATAAAGTCAAAGTATATCACAACTGGCTCTGTGGATACAGGGATATCTCCTCATACTTTTCAATCAAGGTGTTTCAGTGCATGATTTCCTCTGATTAAAAAATGAAAATTTAATATAAGGATTAAATACTTTTTTATATTAATGATAATTAATAAAGTTACTGATGTGGTCTCCTCATCTCAAAAAAGATATACTGGCATTAGAAAAAGTTCAGAAAAGGGGAACAAAAATTATTTGAGATTTGGAACGGGTCCCGTATGAAGAGAGATTAAAGAGAATAGGACTTTTCATCTTAGAAGGAAGCGTTCCATCAGGGTGATGGCCTCCTCTAGGGTCTCCGGAAGGTGCTGTCTCACCCATCGCTGCCCTACTACTGGTTCCGCTGGCCGCGGCCTGTTGTTCCCGGAGTTTATCCAAGAACTGCTGCAGTGCTTGCGTCTGCTGCTGTTGCCATTGCTTCTGGTTATCCACCAGCCAGTCCACCACTTTGTTTAGATCCATCTTTCCTGGAGAAATTAGTGGATTTCCACACAAACAAACAAAAAGCAAAAAAAAGGAAAACAAACCAAGAACACTCTTCTCCTTCCCTCCTCTCCCCAGAGCCCTTAAAGGGGTTGACTGGCCACAGTGCCTGTGCCAGCTCCAAGCCTGCCAGCTCAAAGACAGCAATCACTGCCCCTGACCCAGTGGGCCCAAAACATGAGCCAGCAAGCCACTGGCAGCCAGCCCTCCACTGCTCCCCAGGAGCAATCTGCCAGCTCCCAGGAGCCTGACAGGGGCTGGAGAAGGCGGGTGCCTTCCTGGTGCAGGGTTGAGATCATGGACCTTATTCAGGTTTGGGGGGGATGCCCCCAACATCCATGATCTCCACACTAGACATAGGAATGCAGCCATCTATGGCAGGATAGCTGCCAGCCTGGCCACCAAAGGCCACATGAGAACCCAGGAGCAGGTCTGCATGAAAAACAAGTTGGTCTGGCGAGACCCCAACCCTGGGCCCTGAGCTTCCCCTCCCCGTTCTTCCCCTTGCTTCCCCCTTCCAGCTCACTCCTCCCAGGTTTCCCCCTCCCCTCTCCCACCCTCTCTCTTCCCCTTTTCCCAGTCTCCCCAGAGGTTCATCCTCCCCCCCAGTTTTGTTCAATAAACCCAGTTTCTATTTTTGAACATACGTGTCTTTTATTTGACATCAGGAAGGGGGGCTAGGGAGGGGTAAGTGGAAGGACGTGAGGGAGGAATGGGGCACGAGCCCCCAGTGGGGACAATCAGGAGGCTGTGAGGGCTCCTCGGGGTGGACGCTCTCCCTCAGGGCCTCCTGGATCCTGACAGCCCCCCAATGGACCCCCAAATGGCAGCCTGCAGCAAGTGCAGCCGGGCTGATGGCAATGACCCCACGAGACGCACCAGCATGCCCAGGGGCAGCTCTGGCTCCATGTGGCCGAGGGCTGTGGTGTCCCAAGGTCGGGCACT